CATCATGTTCAAAAAAAGCATTACATTTTATCTCCACTAAGATGAAAAAGGGTGTTGGTTTCGAAATCTACGACCGGCGTGTGATAGATTTTCGCCGAAACAGAATAACTAACCGTTGTGCCACTGTGCTCCTGTAATAAATTGAATGATAAGTCCGAGATACTTGTTTCAGTTCAATGCTCAAATGGTAGGGCCCGCACGGTGCAAACGTATGAGTAGCATTCACACAGATGAGTTAAAATTTCACCAAAGCTCCAGTCGGTTTCAAAATCGGGATAAAAATTATCCCTGTATCTGTTTACCGCATTCAGCATGCCACAGTTCATCGCATGACTGAGTTGACCACTTGGACCAAGTAAAAAAACCATGTTCAAGTAACAAAATATTCCGTGCAAACAAATAGAGCTATTACATAAAAATGCAACAAGAATGAAAGCGGAATTGGTGAAACTTGATTTAACTTTACGTAAATGGTTTAAATCATGGTGAAATTCAAGTTCTGAAAAATGGTATGATATCGTTGCCTTGGTATCATGTGAAAACGATCACATGTGGAAGGTTGGCCAAAAGACTTTACGTCGTGGACCGGGAAATGTCAATTGTTTTAACTCAATTCAAAATAAACTGGGATTTGTGAATCCATTTGATAAATTTCCAGCATTCTCAACTTAGCCCCTTGGTAGAAAGTTTTCATAAAACGGAGCATCATCCCAAAACAGAAAAACAGTGCAGTGTACCGTAACGAGGAAATTGAGTTTATAAACCGCTTTATTTGGCCTTCACCATGGCGGTATAAGGACAAGACCAGGTTGGCTGCAATTTCTGCAGCTGCTGGTACGCGAAGAAAGAAGACCAAATCCTGGACGAGTAAGCGTATGTGACAAACGTTCAGAATGATTGATGTGCAGACGGGAATGATCGCTGAACATGACATTGTTGGCCACTCGCTTCGATTTGCATTCGGACGGATAAGATGAACTAAAATATTTTTGTGAATGTATTGACGAAGAAGTTAAATGAACCTAGAAACGGGGATGAATTCACTTCTTCTCTTTGGCATCTGGAAAAATACCGGGGATAATGCGATCAAGACAGAAGGATACAACAAGCCGCAAGTTCATTAATCATATTAAGGGAGAGAAAGGTTTTGAATCCTCAGGCCAAAAATAAGACCGTGTTTGAGCATCTTCAGTACGTGTCAATTAGGAAATGTTGTGTTGAAACAGCATCAATCTATTCCTAAAAAGGTGATTGAAGTATGCTGTTAATTTCAAAAACGATTTCGGGCAGGTTGATAACAGCAGCCTGTTAAAGAGATCTTGTTTCGAGGGTCAAGGCAAAACTAACATTATAATTGAGCGTAAAAGATCGGAACACAGACAAACTGACAATTTTGTCCAGGTTGTCCTGAAGTTAGTTAGCGGAAACTGTCAACGTCGATGAACGGACAACTTTGCTTTTTTGTCTTCAGAATGTTTTCACCCGGAGAAGTTGCAAACAGCCTGAGATTTTCTTGTTTAGAATGAAAATCAGGGAATGCAATCTAGGTTGCATGCTACATGCTGCATAATTGGTTCCTGAAGACGGAAACACTTTATGGTCGCAAGATTCAATCTTACTGGAAATGGTAATTGTATTATTATTATTATTATTATTTGATTCATGATAATCATCCTCATTTTGGTCGGAGTATTTCAAGTGTTTATCGTGATGATATTTATGTAAGTTTTCATTATCAGTGTGTTGCATTCGTTCGCATCGGGCCAGCACCGTAGAACTTAGACAAAAGTAAATTTATCGGTTATGGCAGTCCAAAGAATATTTAAAGATTTTATATTGTCTGTTCGAGAACAAGAAAAACATTCATATAAGTATGAACTGTTGACAGTTTCAAGTGTAAAAGATGAACATTTTCAGAAGTTTTCCTTGTGCAGTTTATCTCGATGAAAATGTCGTTCTCAGCTTCATCAACCGAGTCAGACTCAAGAAATGGTCAGTTGGCTCCCTTCGTTATTGGGTATGGTTCTGGATGGCTCTGATATATTGAAAACCTAGTTCTCGCCTTGTATTACTGGTGCCCTCAGCTGACAAAATTTTACATTCTACAGAATTTCAATCGTGTACGCTTCTGTATGCCCCCAGACAGGCTAAATTTACCGTACTCCTTACCCGAATATTGATTCAACTGTAACGAATTCATTATGGGTAAAATAAAGTAAATGTAGTTCTTTTAAAATATTTTCCCATTTCTTTATCCAATTTAGCAATGAAGATGTTTGCAACTGGTGCTTATTTATTTTCATTTTCACTCCGCCCTCCACCCTTTTAATCAGTTTCACTCCAATTTATCTGGCTGTCATTGTTCTCTACACGGGATTCTTTATGCACCTCTGGGATGGTCCGTTCTATCCTCAACGTGCAGAACTGAGCGATATTCAATACTGTCAAACACACTGGTGGACGATGTACGTGAATAATCTGGTCTATACGGATGAAATGGTGAGTGAGTGTGTGTTTGTGTGTAAGTTCAAATGACTGCAGCATGGGAAACCGACATACTTGGCGTGCAGTGATGAACCAGATCAGTGTGCATACCTTTTTGCTCCACACAGCATATCCTTATATGTTTAAAATGCTCAAAGTGCTCTCCACATGAAAACTGTGTATCTTTCGTGTTACCAAATGGTCAACGGTGCACCGGCGTATTCCATGCGTATCGGTTTGTCCTCATGGGTGACCTTACTCCATCGCATAATGGAAGTTCTCATCTTATTAGTACAGTATAAATTCAACGTCATTCGGATCAGAAAATATCGTGGCCTCTGAATGAAGATTTTTGTCGTTGTCTTGTATAAGCGAAGTAGCACGAATACAAAAAAGTCAATTTGCTTGCTTAGATTCATACACAAGCTTGTATAAACACACGCACAAATATGCACACTTAGGTGTACAAATTCTTGAGTGAATCACAATCTCCGTTTCTGCTGATGGTGTGCTTTTTAGTGAGGCCGAAACAGAGGATTTATATGGGAGTCAAAAGTTGCTAGATTATAGCATCTAGAATTTAAAAAAACAATCAATCACTTCAGACCTGACTTTCTTTTGAAACAAAAAGATCAAAATATTGCCGACTGTGGCATCTCAGACGGTCCGGAAAAGGTCATTCCCTCAAACAGATCGGCTCAATAATTGTTACTCTGTGTTACTTGGTTTCTCCTATTTGATTCTCACTTGTGCTGTACCCAAGACACATCATTTTATGCCACTCTATCCTGTGCATGATACAAGTGTGTCCGCACACTTGTTTCGTTTTCGATGCCAAACGCTTGCTTACTCCTTTCGGTGTGTTTTAGCTCAAAATCAGTGTTTATGGAGTTACAAAAGCAATTAAATTGCTCAGTTCAGAAATGCTGAATGGATTTCCCTACATACTTCCGAAATTCTTCAAAATTGGTTAGAACTCCTTGATTTTCTCGGGAAGAAGACACTGCCAATCTTGAAATATAGTTATGAAGAATTTGGATCGGATTCAAATGTTCATACAACTAACATTCTGACTATAAGGTAGCCTAACAGACAGTTTTTACCATACTAGGGGGTATTATATAATTTGACCAAATTAATTTTTCATCATTGACATTTGAACATGGACGAGAATATTTAGCACCCATCGGAAGCATTCGTGATGCATCAGATTCACTGAAGTAAAGCACGTTCTGTTTCTGGGTATCCAAGGCTAATCAAACTGGCGAAATTAATTTACTTGTATATCATTCACACAACACGATGCTCGGATTCGTTCAAATTATCTGCATGTTTTTCGTCGCGGATTCCCTTTGACATCATCGTTTCTCGTGCCTCGCCACATATCCGCTATTGTTTCGGAACAGACCAACTCCTGATTGGTTATTTGTACTGCATTTAGACTTAAGACTTTAGATGTACTCACATGTTGGGAACGGTTATTTTTCCTGGATTGCTTGAACGAGTTTATTCATTTATTCGCGTGATCACTGCACCCTTTTGGCTTTTTCTGGGACTTTGGTTGGGTGGTCTGTGCATTCCATGGGACTTCACCGTTGGATTGTCTTTGGTCTCACAGAGGTCCACACAAATTGATCCATCATATACTTTACTTGGCTAGGATTAAGTGGGACGTTTTAGGTACCAATGGAAATGAAATGTTATAAACACTCAAAATTTGAAGGACGGTAAAGTTTCTTCATTGACCAATGTAGAAATAAATAAATGTATTTTTACTTCCTTTTTCTATTTATTGAATATACAAATGTACGGTCAACTTTCAGGAAGGGGGCTGCGGCCATACAAAGGCTGCCTGGGGAAAATACAGATATAGGGAAGACGGGCGGTGTTGGAACGATTTGAACCCGGGACACCCAGGTCACTAGTTGGTGACCTAACCACTTGGCCACCGCCTCCCATGTTCTAGAAAACTGTCGTTCAACAACCAACGGTTCTTTTGATTCGGGTGAAATTTATTCCATTTTTTGCACTGAATTTTAAAATCAATAATAGAATTCTATTAGCCATTTTTGTTCCTCAAATTAAAGGGGAAGGAACAGTTAACTCCTAACTCTATGATGTCACGTTTTTATCTACTACTTCTTTCCAAATTTTCTGTTTTTTTACTCCCTCACTCCCTGTGGCTTCGCCAATGGTGATCATAACGACAGTGTATACCGTGGTCTTGGTATTTGGCTAATGACCTGCAGTTCTCAATCATTTTGGTTCCGATATTTCTCACGTTATTGCGATGGTAAGTGTGACCTTTCTGAGTCAAATGGTTACGGTGATTACTATCCGGAATTTTACTCGCTCTCCAACTAGAAGTGTTCATGATTCGTTTTCCTTTGGGGCTTCTCACATTTCCTTGCTTACTTAGCATACATTAGCACATCTTAAACGAAGAATAGCATCTTTTTTAGAAGACTTGACGAAAACCAGCACTTGCAAGAGTCCGAGTTCCCTGAGGATTGTTCATCCGGGACAAATCCTTCTCAGTAGATCACCAAACTGGGACAAATTAACTCTTTCTTATTCACCTTTGTCGAAGAAACGACTCTCGGCTTTGGCTCTTCACGGCTATTTGTTTATTCGCTTATTCGCACAATTGAATCGGCGGGATATTCAGTTTATCAGGTGGAAACTCAATCATTTCAGTGTTCATTCGTCAATGCGGACTTGCTGAACTGAAGTTGATGCCACGTGAGCAATCGATACCACGTTGTATTGCTGACTGAGGATGTTTGCATTTCCCTTGGTTTGTAGGCTTCCCGTCGCATTCAGTATGATATGCTTCCCTGCGCAAACTGGGAAGTTCATTGCGCAGCAATATTTCGGCTTCCACACTCAGATTCGTGAACGCGAAGAACGTTTTCACAGGCAATATCAGAATAAAACGCGCACAGTTGCAGCTGATAAAATACAACCTACTTGAACTGTTTCTATGAGAACTTAACAACAAAGAACAGAGTGAAGCTTGCAGCATGAGATGAACAGATTATCATGCCTTTTACACTTTGCACATAAGCTAATGGTAAAGTAGTGAAAATTCATGCTGTTTTGGAACTCCAGAGGTTGGTTTACGTTCAGTAGACTGTTTATCTCGTCGTTCGTCGACCATTATGCGGCCTTCACTCCACGAGCCTATACCGTGGACCATTTGGAATCATTGGTTCAGACTGAAGGAGAGAGCGAGGCGGAT